TTTAGAAATGTTTGCTCATCTTGCAGAACACTTGCAGAACAAGTTACTCACAATCCAAGGTTTTATTGGACTAGGAGTAGAGAGAATATTTTGTCAAGAAATCTTGAAGTTGGAAAGTAGTTGGAAAGGTACCAATTTATAAACCTCACATATCCATTGGTATTGGTTGTCCAGACTCTCAGAGAGAGAAGTCTTTCATAAAGATATTATGTTATTACTGTTCTCATTCATTTCAGTTCAAAAACATTTGCAGAGTGTCTACTACATAGTAGACATTGTGCCATGTTTAGAGTTAATATAAAACACATACAACATATTCCTTTGATCCAACACCTATACCAGCTGGACTCTGGGTCACTAGTTTGGGTCTATATTTTATTGAATGACTTTAAAAAGCTGCAGATCTCTTCTGATCTTTCCTGCCAGATCTTCCTTCTCTGAACAAGGAAGTATACACACCCTTAAGTAAGCTTGATATTTGGGTTGGGCCTCTCAATTTTCCCAGGCCTCACCCAGATGAAAAACACTCCCTATCTGAAAATCTAGTTCCTTTAAAATTCTTGATAAAGTTTTGGAGAGACTTCTCATACAAGGCTCTCATTTTTGTTTCTATACAGAAATTCAGAAAAAAGATTCCTTTCTGGTTGCAACTTCTTGAACCATATACGAAAATCGGAACAAATCCTTAGAATATGAACAGTGCCTGTGCCGCCTGCCCCTCTTGACCTCCCCTCTCCCAACCCACACCCAGGAAACCAGAGCATGAAGCAGGGCCATGTTCCAAAGCAAGCTGATGGCTTTCACCTACCACGAACCTGCCGGCTTCAACCGCAAAAATGAAACTGAATTTAGAAACTCTCCTGTTTGACTTGAAGACCAGAAAATCAGACACCGCTAGATTGAAGACAGAGGTAGTTTATGAAATATCCATAGCAGTGACTGGCCCAAGTTCTCTGAAAAGTATCTCAGACATGTTAACTGTCCTTTCAAGATTCAAGACCTACAAGAAGCAATTGACTGGCTTGGTTTAGCTGTTAGACCGGGGTATGGAGATGATGCTGAAAACACAAGGACTTGCTACCTGATAATACAAAAAAATGCTGACAATGTAGAGGCACTGATCAATTTGGATGCAAATAATCCTGATCTTAAGGCTGGTGTCATGGCTTTGGCTAACTTTCTTCAGATTCCACATCATAATAGTCACCTGGTAATGCTTCAGGCAACTCACATTTTGGTCCAGGAGCACCTGATGAGGGATGCAGTTGCTAAAGCAAATCAAACAAAAGAGGGCTCACTGGTTGCTTTAGACACACAGGTTTTGGCACAGGAGATGCAGTTCTTAATGAAGCTGCTCAAAATCTGCAATTGCTGCACATAGAAGAGCTCAGACAGCTACAGACAAAAATTAATGAAGCCATAGTAGCTGTTCAGGCCATTACTGCTGATCCAAAGACAGACCACAGAAAGTTGGACGATGAACTTGTTAGGATTTCAGCTTCTCACAGACTTAAGTACAGTTGGGAACCATGTACGCCCTGGCATGTGTTTGGAACTCAGTTGTCACATTTTTGAGGGAAGAATCCCAGAAAATTGACTATGTTCCAGAGATTTACCATCACTGCTTTTTCTTCAATAAATTTCAAAATGTAGGGGAAAAAATGAACAGCTATCCACAGGATTTTCCATATTGGGATCCATATTTTTCAGATAATCAAGGTCTCTGCTCTCTAATATCCTCCATCCATTTCCGAGCCTAAACCAAAATCCCCAAGGAGTCACTGCATGTGAAAATATTTTAAACTCTGGCCTGTCTTAAGAACAATGCGTAAGTTCCAGGGTTGAGAATACGGACTGATCTAGGCTCATGGCTCTGGGGTGTTAACACTGGAAAAGCCCCTGAAGATTATCCAGTCAAATCACCCTACTGTTACATAAGTAAACTGACACCCAGAAACGGAGACATTTTCTTAATGCCATAAAAAGTTGCCATAGCTCCAGACAGCACAGGGCTCATTTGATGCTACACTTCCTTTTCTCCACTAATGTGCATTTTCTGAGATGCCTCTTGATGCTTATTTTCCTATCTGTTGAATGTGAAAATAACCACATTACTGCAAATCCTTGAAATATGTTTGAGCGTCTTCAACAAAAGACTCCGTATTAATAAAACGCAGGAAAAAGTTTTGCTAGAACTAGGATCAAGTGGCCAACTTCTAGAGAAAGTGTTTCTGGCACCACTGAATTGAATGACTCTTCAGAATTGAGAACAATACCCTGTCTAGAGGAGGAAAACCAGTAAGCTCCTTTTCTTCAGGTCATGCTCCCATTTACAAAGCCGCTCCCCCCACCCCATGTGTGGTCTAGCACTTGGTTTTGTGTTAAGGAGGATTAAGTTGTTTTGGATTAATGCTTTGACATCGATACAAACACATCTACATCCACAGAACAACAACAACAACAACAAAAAAGGACTTTCATGTAGAGTTTAAGGCCAGATACAGTCTAGGAGAAGAGTATTAGCTCAGGTATGGCCCCAAATTATTGCTACAGCCCATCTGGATCACCTAGGTGACTAACAGTACAGTCCATTATTTCAGAAAGGTTATAGAAATCTATGGGCCTCACACCATGTGTAATGTGGGTAAGGTAGCAAACTTGTAAGAGCTTTCGCTTCTGCATTTCCTGATTTATAAACAGCAGAGGTAAAGGCACCTGGCTGGCTTATTCGGTTGAGTGTCTGACTTTGGCTCAGGTCATGATCTCAGAGTTTGTGAATTAGGGCTCTGTGCTGACCTGCTGAGCCTGCTTGGGCTTCTCTCTCTCTCCCTCTCTCTGCCCCTCCCCCACTTGCGTGCACATGGTCACTGGGTCTCAAAGTAAATAAAACTTAAAAAAAAAAAAGATTTAAGAAAAGGGGGGGTGCGCCTGGGTGGCTCAGTCAGTTGGGCGTCCGACTTCAGCTCAGGTCATGATCTCAGTTTGTGGGTTCAAGCCCTGCGTCAGGCTCTGTGCTGACAGCTCAGAGCCTGAAGCCTCCTTCAGATTCTGTGTCTCCCTCTCTCTCTGACCCTACCCTGCTCACACTCTCTCTCTCTCAGAAATAAATAAAAAACATTAAAAAAATTAAAGCAACAAAACCTTGACCTACAACTTAAAAAAAAAAAAGAAACAGGAGAGAGGGGTGTAATATATATTATGCCTATTAGTGAATCTGAATGCACTTGGTCTAACATTGGTCTCTTGGGCAAAGAGAAGTGGCCAAAAGTTAATCTCACATACTGAACATGGAGCCCATTCAAAATTTTGTTTAGGTCTTCAAACAATTAATGAAACCATTTTCCTTTTCTGATGAACAGATCAGGTTGTCCTGTAGCAAGTTGTATGAGCCCATAAGTTCATTAACAATAGGGTCATTTTCTCTGATCCAAAGATTCCAGGTTTGGGAATAGTTAAAAGGAAACTCTGAAATCCTATGTTCACTGTGGGCATTTATCGGTACAACTCTCTGTAAAATTTATATGTAGTCTAAGAAGCTGGTGAGAAAGAAAAATATCATAAAACAAGGCTTTAGGGACGGCTGATCCCTTCTAAGTGCAAAGCAGGCTGAGGTGGGAAGGGCATCTGTGGCGCTCCCGACAGTTCACGGTTCAGCAGCCAAGTGCGGAAGTGGAGGGAAGTTTCGATGTATAAAGCACTCACGGCGGCGTTTGGACACAACCAGAAGAGCTAGAAGGAAGCAGCAACGGATGCTTCTAGAATGAGGGCTGGAGAGGGTCAGCGACAAGCTAAGGCAGAGATGAATAAAACCGAGTTGCTCCATAATTTGAGGCACAAGACTGGAGAGAAAGGAATCGTAGGAAACAGCCCCGTTGGAAGAACTGGGGGCGTGATAGCAGAGACATGTTAAGGGGCATTAGGGACAGTAAAAGAAGGAAGGAGAGTTGGGAGCGATGATTATTGAGTACCACCACTGGAAGAGCGTCTTGCAAGGATAATAAAGGGAGAAGGGTGTAAAGTAGGGGTCGGGAATTGTAAGGGTAAACTATGGGAAAAGACTGCGCAGACGTCAGCAGCAAGGAAAAAAGAGAAGGAATGGGGTCGGGGCGTGGCCCAGAAAGGGAATGGCTCAACAGCGGGCTACGGGGTGAAAAGGAGAAGGGTGGGGAAGAGCCCGGCTGACAGCTGCTCTCAAATGGCGCCTACAGGGTTAAAAATCGGGGCGACCAGACTAGGAAGAACTCCGTTTCCAGGGTAACGGCTCCGACAGTTCCGGCAGCGCAGGCTCGTACCATTGCACGGGCGCGCGCGGGGGGAGCGCGGCGGGCGGGCGGGAGGGGACGCGCGAAGGAGCAGTCGGGCAGAGGGGTCCGGCCCGGACGCTACCAAACGCGCGGCCCGCCTGCTCGCTCCCGGCCCGGCGCCGAGCCGCGCTCCGGCCGCGCCGGCCGCGGCGTCCTCCTTGCCCGGGCCGGCAGCTCTCAACTGGCCGCGGACGGCGGGGGGGAGAAGGAACGTGCGCCCGGTGGCCCGAATTGGCCTCCAGGTCCCCCCGCCTGGGCGGCGGAGTGCGGGCGGCCCGGGCTGGGAGGTTTGAAAAGCGGGCGAGAGACAAAGGCAGCAGGAAGCCTGCTCGGCGCCCGGAGCCCGTGCTCGCAGCCCCCCAGGGCCCCCCGGCCGGCCCGCCGGCCCGGAGCGGCGGCGGCGGCGGCGGCGGCGGCGGCAGTGGCAAGTGGCCGAGGATGCGGCAGGGGGCGTGGGAGCGGCGGCCGAGCGGGCGGAGCGGCGCGGCCCGAGCGCGGAGTGGTTAGACCCGAGGCGGCGGAGGCGGCGGCCCGGCCGGGCTCGGGAGTGAGTGAGAGGGCGCCTTCCCCGCCCGGGATGTGAGGACCGAGCGGAGCCCGGGGCGGGGGGAGGGAAGGGAAGGGAGGCGAAGCCGGCAGGAAGGAAGGAAGGACGGACGGACCAGGAGGAGGAGCGGCGGCGGCGGCGGCCGGAGCCGGAAGGCGGGGAGGGGCCGTCCGTTGGGCCCGAGGCGGCGGCGGCAGCGGCGGCGGCAGCGGCCGGGGCGAACCGCTCTTGTCGCCTCTCGGGGCAGGAGCGGCGGGGCCCGCGCCTCCTCCCCCCGGCGCCGCGGAGGGGGGAGGAGGAAGATGGAGACCCACATCTCGTGCTTGTTCCCCGAGCTGCTGGCCATGATCTTCGGCTACCTGGACGTCCGGGATAAGGGGCGCGCGGCGCAGGTGTGCACGGCCTGGCGGGACGCCGCCTACCACAAGTCGGTGTGGCGGGGGGTGGAGGCCAAGCTGCACCTGCGCCGGGCCAACCCGTCGCTGTTCCCCAGCCTGCAGGCCCGGGGTATCCGCCGCGTGCAGATCCTGAGCCTCCGCCGCAGCCTCAGCTACGTGATCCAGGGCATGGCCAACATCGAGAGCCTCAACCTAAGCGGCTGCTACAACCTCACTGACAACGGGCTGGGCCACGCGTTTGTGCAGGAGATCGGCTCCCTGCGTGCCCTGAACCTGAGCCTCTGCAAGCAGATCACCGACAGCAGCCTGGGCCGCATAGCCCAGTACCTCAAGGGCCTGGAGGTGCTGGAGCTGGGGGGTTGCAGCAACATCACCAATACCGGCCTCCTGCTCATCGCCTGGGGCCTGCAGCGCCTCAAGAGCCTTAATCTCCGCAGCTGCCGCCACCTCTCGGACGTGGGCATAGGGCACCTGGCCGGCATGACGCGCAGCGCCGCCGAGGGCTGCCTGGGCCTGGAGCAGCTCACGCTGCAGGACTGCCAGAAGCTCACCGACCTTTCTCTAAAGCACATCTCCCGGGGGCTGACGGGCCTGAGGCTCCTCAACCTCAGCTTCTGCGGAGGCATCTCGGACGCAGGCCTCCTGCACCTGTCGCACATGGGCAGCCTACGCAGCCTTAACCTGCGCTCCTGCGATAACATCAGTGACACTGGCATCATGCATCTGGCCATGGGCAGCCTTCGCCTCTCAGGGCTGGATGTGTCGTTCTGTGACAAGGTGGGGGACCAGAGTCTGGCTTACATAGCCCAGGGCCTGGACGGCCTCAAGTCCCTGTCCCTCTGCTCTTGCCACATCAGCGACGATGGCATCAACCGCATGGTGCGGCAGATGCATGGGCTGCGCACGCTCAACATCGGACAGTGTGTGCGCATCACAGACAAGGGCCTGGAGCTGATCGCTGAGCACCTGAGCCAGCTCACTGGCATAGACCTGTATGGCTGCACCCGAATCACCAAGCGCGGCCTGGAGCGCATCACGCAGCTGCCCTGCCTCAAGGTACTCAACCTGGGACTCTGGCAGATGACGGACAGTGAGAAGGTCAGGTGAGGGCAGCAGTACCTGCTCCCCTTGTCCCACCCTGTTCATCCTCCGGTCACCACCACGCCCGCCCCCCACCCCCACTTGACATGCCCACTTACACACAGATCATTGTAGTGGATGAGATGGGGGCAGTGACACCAAGCGTCAGGCTCATTTTCTCCCTCCTCCAGCACCTCCGCCCACCAAGCACCCATTCTCATTGCGTCTGGGGTTCCTACCTTACTCCCTTCTCTTTTTCCCTGAGGATAGAGATGGAAACAGTTACTTATCCACCCACTCCTCTCGGCAGGGGGTTGGAGGACTGTTTGAGCTACTGTATCCCCCACTGCTTTGCATTTGGAATTGGGGGAGGGGGTGGGGAGTGACTAGTCCTTAAAACCCTGGGGAGTTGAGGAAAATGTCTGCCTTCACTTAAGCTTTCATTTGAATACTGCGATCTGGTTTTTATTTCCAAATGTAAAAAGAGCAAACCCAGCTACCACGGCCTTTTCACCCTTTTTCCTTCCACTTTGTAACTAATCTCTTCTCCTCACTTCTCCTACAGTGCTCTGCTGTTCACCTTCATTTCCTTTTTTTGTCTTTCTTGTTTTCATTTTTTGGAGAAATTCGAAATCATGGTCCTTTTTTTTTTTTTCTCTGCTGAATATAGTCTATATATTATATATATATAAATTATATATATATACATATATATATGTCTGGCTACCTCGTTTTAGTTTACTTTTTTCTCTGAAGCCCTGGAATTCTACAAGAGAGATATTTTGAGACTGAAACGTTTTTGTGCCTAGACTGGAAAGATGCCCATTGGGTTTGTACGTCCATTTTGTTTTGGCTTCTTCCCAAACCCCATCCATCCAGTGTGTCCACTTCCACATTCTGGCTAGAATATTTTTCTCCCCGTCCATTGGGATTTGAGGGCCCAATGGTGTCCATAAATCTTGACTTAATTTATAGCACAAATGTATGGAAGAAATGAGAGTTGAACTTTTGTTTGCCTGAGATGCAGATTGTGTCTTGAAAATGATGATTATATATGCAAATTCTGCCCTACCCTCACCCTCTTCCAAGTTTCCCCACAAAAAGGTCACACGGTGAGGCTTCCTGTTGGAAGCATGGGGAGCAGAGGTGGCCCGCAGAGCCCCTGGGGCTGTACCGCGAAGGGGAGGAGACTGAAACTCCTGTTTCATCTCTGTTGTGTTCATAAAATGGGAGTTTGTGGGTTTTACAAAAATCTGTTTCTAAATGGAGGCATAGATGGCTTTCATTATTTTGGTGGGGGTTGGGACTCGTGGCTTTAAAACACAATTGCTTTTGAGTAGGATGTATATTTCTGTTGGAGTTTTGTTTGTTTATTTTTTTTTAGAATCCTCCACAGCAACCTGCGAGACCATGGAGTTAAAGAAACCCAGAGACCTTTATCAATTAATTGTACTGTTTGTGAATTTGTATAAATAATAACAAAGATCCTCTTAAAACGTTTATATTCTTACAGTAAAAGGTTAAACTGATATTTATATAATAAAAGAGGAAATATGAAGTATGTTTTTGAAAAAAAAAACCAAAAAACCTTGTATCTGTGAATTATTTTGAAGGCAGGGTGTGTTTGGGCCCACGCCAGAGTAGGAGGTGCTGTTTGTGTATTCTTAAGAGGAAATAAGGTATAGGGTTCGGGGCATCCTATGTGGTGTGTGAGTAAGCTCACCGGTAAACATTTATTCTGTATAAGTTTTACCACTGACATCTAAATGTTTTGTTTCTAGCAATGTGACTGGACTGGAGATTGATCTAATTTCTTGGTTTTAAACTGTCAACAACATGGACATTTAAAAAAAAAAAAAACTGAGCAAAATGGAACTTTTTGAAAACGAGAACTGTAAGAGTTCACGGTTTCCCCAGGGTGGAAAGGAGGTCAAGGAGTCCCGTTGAAAAATGGGTCATGAGATGTGGAGGTGGGGGAGAAAAAGGGGTTTCTTTCCACTCTAAGTGGATGTGGGGAGGATGTGAAATGGTGAAGGGTGGAGGGAACCGAAGCCATTGTTCAGAAAGTTAAAAGAGCGCTGTCCTTGCTCGCCAGCTCGCTTGCTCGCTCATGCGTGCTGAATCTCACAGTGTGAGTGAGGGTCCTAGTGGAGAGGAGGAAGGCAGTTCAGCCCCTCTTTTTAACATTCTCCTCCAGGCCCGGCTGTATTTAAGCACTTTCCTGGGGGAGGGGGAGGTTGGCCAGGAGTTGTTGCACATTTGCATTTTAAGCACTTCCAGCGCTGAGGCTGGCCACTCGATCCACTGTGGTGAGGGTTCTTAGACAATTCTTTGGGGCAGATAAATGAATACCAGCAATTCTAGCAAAGAGTTCCCTTTGATAGACAATAACTAGATAATCGACACCCTGTGGTTGGGCTGTGGAGGTGGAAGGGTCTGAGCGCTCAGACAGTGGAGCAGGGCATATTCTTGGTTTCACATAGGTCTTTCTTCGTTGTGGCTGAGATTTTTTTTTTTTAAACCAAAAATACAGATCCCAGCAAGAGCTGATAATGGTGGTATAAAACTTTCCTGCAATGACACCTCTTTCCAGGAAGAGAGCTAGAACCCAAGTTTCTCTTGGGATAAGGTTGTTTTGTAAAATTTCCAAGCTTCTGCTTGAGCCTGTCACAAAAGCTGCATTGTTCCTTTTTGGAGAGAGCCATCACAATTGGGTCTAATTGAGCCTGACACTAGATCCATCTTCCTTTTCTTTGGGGAAGGTGTGGAGCTCTTTCTTCCCTCTTAGGTTGCAAGCGCTTACGGCCTGGGGAGGAAAAAGTGTGAACCCTAGTAAGAAGCTGGGACTTGGAGTTAGGGTCAGCATTCTGATGTGGCACTGTAACGCATGAAGTTTCCATAAGCTGTAAGTTCTTGGAGGATTTTTTTTCCTCCCAGACTGTATGACTACAGACTCAGCCCATCACAACTTGAGCACCTCCTAAGTGCTCCTAGACTCTGCGCCCACATTCTTCATTTTAATACACAGTCCTACCAACTAATGGGGAGATTTTTCCACTTTTCTGTTTGGTTTTGTTTTTTACTTGCAAGGCTAAATAAATATAAGCTTGACTAAAGGTCGGTGAGTGAATGTTTGAAAGTTAAGATCATGGGCCTACTGTCCTCATGCTAAACTGGGTATACTTAATATATCTGGAGTGTCTCTGGAAATGATGAATAAACCATTTACTTTCATCAGTCAAGGTTAACTGTTTATATCTCTCAACCTTCATGGGTAGAAAGAAACAAATATGTATTGAGAACTATGGTATACTTTGCATGGTACCTGAATACTTCTCCTTTTAGTCCTCAAAGCAGCCTGTTCAAACAGGTATCCTTATTTCCAGATAAGGCATACTACTTGTCTTAAGTCACCCAGCCACTAATTGAGGGGGACCAGGGCTCAAACCAGGTCCAGTTCCAAAGTCCACCTCCCTTCCGTATGCTGAGAAGGTTCAGCTACTGATGGTACCTTGGTTTCCAGTAAGGTGACCTCACAGAAATGAGTGGCACAGTATGGACAAGCTCATGCCACAGGGCACTATTTAAAGGGAATACGGGTGGGGAGCCGATCTCCACCATACCTACAGGAATCAGAAGCACTAAAGAAAATGATTTGATATTTTGTGGGCGCTACAAAAGTTAAAAAGCACTTTGGGGCAATTTTTAGGAAAATCGGAAAGCCTGGTTCAGGTATTTGCTGAAACTTCAGAAGTGAAAAATCAGAATAGGAACTTAGTGTAAACTTTATCATCCAGAAGTAATAAGCCTCATAGAAACTAGTTAGTGGTGAGGACAGGGCTCCACGCACCTTTCTTTTCTGAGCCTCATTGGGCAGTAGCCCTTAAAGTCTGTCTGGAAAAGATAAATGCAACCTCACTGGGGTGCAGACAATTTCTGCAGCCCGTAAGGACCATGCTAGGCCTCTAGCTAGCGAGAAATGCTGGGCACTGTTGCATGATGCTCCCTGCTGTGGACTCCCTTCTGTGGGATTCCTCAATCCTAAGGTGCTGGAGGGCCCCCGCCTGGTTTACCCCACACTGCGTAACAGGGACAGGGATGCCTGCCTCACTTATTGCCTGTCTTTAAATAGTTAAGAAAATTCAAACTCATCAAATTCTTTCATGATTCAAATCAACAAAGATCTGAAAAGGCAAGTCTCTTTTTATTGGAGTTTCCTTTTAAAGGTAAGGACTTTTCTCTTGAAGACACATGCTCTGGAAACTGAAGTATGGCCTGTGCCCTAAATCCTGGTGCTTTCCTGCAGCAGTTACTAGATAGACACTGGTCTTGGAATTAGTAAAACCTTTTTTACTTTTGACTTAGAAAATGTGAACTCAAGTTTTCAAAGGGGAAATGTATGGCCCCCAGCGACCACTGTGTTTCCAAATAAGAACCTCTTTATTAAAAGATCAGATTTGTAAAACGAAACCAAGACCTCATGCAGCCTCTGACAACTGCCTCTTGCCAGTCCCGAGAAAGGGGGAGCCCCTCGCCCCTGCTCTCAGCTGCCCTGCTGGAGAAAGGGAAGCTACAGTAATTCATGGAGTGGTGGCCTTCTCTGTCGCCCTTCTCTTCCCTGCATCTCACATCACTCCCTTTTAGGTTATTTCTATCCACTTAGTAAAGGGCAAGACCTAAACTCTGTGTGCCTCCGAACTCCTACGGAGGCAGGGGTGAGGCTTTCTGATGAGATACTGTGGAGCACAGGATCAGAAACTGGAAAGCTATGGTCAAACGCAGGCCTGTGCTTGGGTCACATATCTCATTTTTGTTCCAATATGATGCGGCAAGTTAAAATATTTTGAAGCGTGAATGGTATCAAACGGATAAGACATTCATATTTGGGTCATTGCCAACTACTAATAATTTAGAACTTAGCAAAGGTAAGTGCACAGCTGGAAGGAGCATGTACTTTTGGGGCTTGCATAGAAAACCAGTATTTCTAGACAATGAATACATTTAAATGTCCACAAATGATCAGTTTCAGTCTTTTCCTCTTTTCCAGGGATTGCTCTGATTTTGCCTGGTGGAGTTGCCTGTACCAACCCAGAACATTTGGTACTATGTAAAGTCGAGTCTTCCGGTTAAGGTGGAAGAGAAAGTAAGCTTGAGATCTTAACTGTGCAGCACTAGCGTGGGGGTATGTTGAACATCCCCGCCAATGAAATAGAAGTGCAGTTCCTCTGCTTGCTGTTCGTTAACCCAGAAAAGTGCACGTTCTTTTCTTTAAAAAAGACTTCTGTTTTTATTACCTCATTATGCTTAGACTATGATTGTGTAAAACACAAATGCCACATATCCTTGTAAGTTCGCTTTTATTTGTGATGGTGGAAAATAGCGTCAGTTACAAAGGAAAGAATGAGTTCTGCAGCAACAAAGAAACCCAAGGTGAGACACTGTTAGGGATGCGAATGCAACCCACTGGAAGAATTTAGTCATGACAGGGTGTTCACTTTCTGTCTCAAACAAAATGTTTGTTTTCACAAATCTGGTTGACACTGCACACTTAATTTTATAAATGGGGAGAGAGAGGCTTGACAAAGCTGAGACGGTTTTGCCTCCGTGACAGGAGTATTTATCAGAACCACGACTGCTTCAGACTTGACTGACCACCTCAGAGGTTGATAAGCATGCAGGTAGCTCTTTGATCTTTCCCGGAGATACTGCAAAGTGCCACCCTGACCCCTGGCTTCAGAAAGGTGCTAAACCACAGCCTGTTTTCATTGGGAGTAGGAAAAACAAAACAAAACAAAACCAAGTGCTGAAAGTCACTACCATTTAATATGTATTACTACATTGTGCCAGCTTAGAGATGTCTGGCAAGCATTGTATATAGAGTTATTTGAGAAGCTGAAAAACTAGTGCAAGTTGGTAAATGGGCTGTAGGGTATTGAAGTAGCCAGTCGTGTCAGATCTGTCCCCTGTAGTCCTCAGAGGACTTGAGCCAATCCAGAACACTGCTTTGTCACAAATAGTGATGAGAAGTACGAATGCTCTAAGTCTGTGCTGGTGTGAAGAATTCGCACATGTTCTGCACACTACAAATGCCTGTCACACAATCTTATAAAGTAGAATCAAGTTTCAGGATCACCAGCTATTTCCTCTTCATTCAAAGGTAAAAAGGCTTGACTTACCAGATGTTTTAGTTACAAATCCCTCTTGTCCAGAAAGAGTACAAGGGTCTAATTTGTTAATATCAGGCACTCGGTTATGTTTATTGCTCCTCGGTTTATGTAATCCACACTCCAGAAGGAGGGCCTCGCACACAGCTGTCTGTCAGTAATTACTACTCATAGCATGGATTCAAGTCACTGGACCTGGACTGTGGGAAAATCATTCTTGGAGACCAGATTAACTTTTTATAAATAGCACGGGATAGCTCAATGTGGTTTGGAAAGTACGGTTTTCCTCATCTGAAGAGAATATGACAATATTTACAAATACCCATAATAATATTTCTCTTTAGGAAACCCTTACCTAAACTGGCATTTTAACGCACAGATCTGTGTAGGAATAGCTACCTGCTACCATTTTGCTTTTTGAGAAATGGTCTTTAAGTAGGGAGGAACCAGAAGAGTTAGTCATAATATTCCTAGAATCTTCAGTAAAATCACTGAGGCTAAAAGTGGACAGATGGATAAACTAAGGGAGGAATTAACAACAGTTATGTCCCAAATTCTTAATGTTCTTAGATGGGAGACAGCTAATCTGCACCTTCCATTTTACTTCAGTGTTTTAAGCCTTAGCTTCATAGCTCAAAAGCTCAGTACTGTGAACCAAAATACAGTAACCAGAAAGGACCAGTAGGTGTGTCCAAAGGAAACAACATGGAAGTGACAAAATTAAAGTGACAATTCCTAGCTCTTCTAGTTCATTCCCGTGCACACAATTTAGAGGGTTTCAGGAATTCTCTGTAAAAATGGTATGACCAAGTTCTCCGAAGTAAGTTTTATCAGGCTCGCAGCTGCTGCTGCTGCTGCAGGAAGCAGTCAAGGTCTCCACATTCTGTGAAACTGCACTAGATGACAGGCTCTTCCGACCCGAGCTGACGCCTGTGCACTTTAGCCAGATGCCCTGCCATTGTGCTCAGAGTCAACTGGCGACAATCAGAGCAGCATGGCCCAGAGGAAGACAGCTGCCCTATCTTCTTCCACACATGAAGTTCTAAATTTCAGTGGACTCACAAGAGGAACTGCAGAAATTCACTTGAGTATGCACAACACGGGATTTAGCAGCAAACAGCCTCATTACTGCTTGCTTTAGATACAAAAATGTAGGGGTGTCTGGCTAGTTCAGTGGGTAGAGTATGCAACCCTTGATCTTGGGGATGTAAGTTCGAGCCCCACGTTTGGTGTAGAGATTACTTAAAATCTCTTTTAAAAATTAGAAAAAAAATGCAGATATGTGAGTTAGGAGACAGAAGGCTACACTTTATTAAAAGGCAGGAGTGGAAAATAAAATTTGACTTCTTGTACACTGCTTCTTGAGCTTCCTCCCTCCCTGCAAAAAAAAAACAAAAGCAAGAAACCTTTCACCCAAGACTGACCTCCCCCACTGTGATGCAGCTATGAATCAAGTCTACACCAGTATCAGAAGTACCTGGGAGTTCAACCATGTGTTTTCTTTCCCCCTAGTTTACTAAGATGATTTTAAGATCCACAATAAAGCAGAAAAACACATCATGGTTACTGCAAATGAATGGAAATTTGTTTTCCAGCGTGGAAGACATGAAATGTATTTATCCACAAAGTCTGCAAGCCCTATGTCTTGTCAGCAGGCGGCAGCATTGTCTGCAAATTAGAGATTATTTCCAGTGGGGCGCCTAAACCTTCCCCTTCAGACAGATGCCCTCCAGTCACCTCCGGCCCTATCTTCCCCCCAAGTCAAAGACTTTTCCCTAGAGTCTAAGAGTTGACAAGGGAGGGATTTCGTATTGCCAAAAAGATGAAATTCAATTTTAAAACATCAGTGAAGCTCCTCAAAGGAGGCCAGGTGTCCAGCACTTTGTTCTCCGAGCAAGGTAACAGATGTGACCTCATAAAGGTTCCCTGAGTTTGCTCACAGTGCTCTGCTGTGAGAAGCAAACATCGATTTCTAATTTTTCTTAAAGACCATCTTGTACAAATCATGTTAGATTGTCATATTTGGGAAGTTTGGGAGAACAAAATGGGGTGAAGTTTTACAGTCATACATGGAGAGAGTTTTAACAGCAAACGTGCTGGCTTTTTTTTTATTATTACGAAAGAATAGAAAGCATATAATCTGTAATGAAAAATTCTAGAGAGCCTTTGAGAAAAAACAAAAGTATTCTCACAATTTTAGGAGTGTCTATTTTTATGACAAAAGGAGCATCTTTATTACTGATGAAGACACCTTCATAAAATCTAAAGGAGTCTATGAAATTGAAAATGTTTAAGAGCCTGATAAAGGAGTGTGGTTGCTCACATATCTAAAGTCTTCCTATGGAAAACAGACAGTAGGAAAAGGCAGGAGAAATTAAAACAAAGAGAAAAGAACTTCTAAACCAAGTTGGCCAGATTCCCTAAACTGCCACAATGGGGGACAGACCGAGGGCTGGAGAGGCCTTGGGGGTGCTTGCTCTCCCGGCTCCCCATAGTCTGGCCTCGGGGAATCAAAGCCAGATCTGAAGAGCAGTTGGTGCAAATACGGAATGAAAAGGTGGAAGGTGGAAGGTGGAAGGTGGATGTCCCCTGTGGCTACTCCTCCCAAGCCGCATTCACTGTGGAGGGCAGCGCTTTATTAGCTCAGTAATACAGAGGTCAGTTTGGGTTGGAGAGGGAGAGAAAAGAAAGGAAAAAACTTCTGGAACTCAGGCCCCAGCCACGAAGCAAATTAGTGATCTGGGCACCATCCGTGAATGCCTAATAAAAGCCGAAAATCTCCCCAGGCAGCCCTATGGACATTGTAGCCGAAACATCCCACTGTTAGTGACCACGCCAAGCACAGGCTGAGGGACAGCAGCCCAAGTAAAGAAAAGAAGTGGTAGCGGAAGGCGGGGGAGTACGTATCCCTCCACACGAGGCTGAGGACGCGACAACACAGGGTGGGCTTGAGGAGCCAGAATAATCCAGAGAGACTTCATGAAACTAAGTGAGGGAAAGCACAGACTATTTGATGACTAGCAGCTCCTCAAGACGGGCATTAGAAGGAACCAGCACGTTGCTCTTTGAGGCGCAGCCTCCAAGAACTGCTCTCCTGGGCTAGCACACATCTTCAAGAAGACAGGCCCTCTTGCACTGGTTGTTGGAATCTGACTTGAGATAAAAATTCCGACTACCAGTCCACCGGGCTGGCCAAAGGTGAGCCTGCGGCTGGGGACGGCTGGGGACGTGCAGGGAAGGTGACGGCTAGGATCAGTGTCTTGCTCAGACATGGAGGCTTGCACCCCTCCTGTCCCCCACAGCGGTCAGCATCTGCAGTCAGGAGGGTGCCGTGTTCTATCCCGCACCCTGGGTGTACAGGGAAAACAAGCCAGGGCGACGGTGTACACAGGGAGAAACAGAAAACGGGTGTCTCCGGAGCCACTGGCGAGCGACATCCGTCACACGGGCCCTGCGGCCAGCGGCTGGCTCCAGTGGCCTGCATGCTGCCCACCAGCTCGATGCGGCTCAGCCTTCCATGCTCCGTTCCGGCAAAGAAGGCATCGCTGACAGCTCTGGTAACCCCATGAAGACAATTTCAGGTAACTCCACAAGCCCTCACCCAAGAGGGCTGCCAGTCCACACAGCCTGACTACTGTTTTGCACACAGGGCAGCCACTGCCGCTGTTCTCCTAACCTTCTTCTGTCCCTTCTGTCCCTGCCGCACAGCAATAAAGGTGTCTACACACACATCCATGTCCTTAATTTAAAGTGATCCAGCACAGCTCCTTCCCGGCTCCTTGAGTTCTGGTTGGCCTATCTACGGAGAGTGTGAAGAAGGGCCCAGAGAGTGGTGTGTGGGGTGGGGGTGGGGAGCGTTCCAGGTGACATAGAGGCACATAACCTACAATGAAGCATGTCTGGGGCCTCTCATACACTGAGCAGGTACCCTGCATTTTCTTGCAATCCTCCCTGATTTGGGTCACTTCGCACCCGACGCCCCAGAGGTAAATCCCCATGGACCATTCCCGAGCCTGGCGGCTCCCACTCCTGTGCCCACTCCTCCCTCTGCACCTGCCGGGGACTTGCAAAGAAATCCCAGCGCTTGT